TGTCGTGGTAGTCGATTTGCTGCTTGGATGGGCTGGATTTGGTTCTGGCTTTTCTGTGTCCTTTTTCCGATTGGATGTTCATCGATTTGTGCCTGTTTTAGTTTACCAGCACATTTTTGAAAAAAAAAAAAGTTCCCATTTTCAATGCGATATTGCTGCGTCTTTCAAATAAGAATTTATTTCGCAGATACAGCGAATATGACCTGTTCCTTTAGAAATGAAATCATGTTTCCTTTCTTTTTAATTCCATTGAAACTCCCATAAATTCCTCGGAATAATTATATTCCTCTTCAAATAATCCCCGACACAATCCAACATTAAGTCACTAATCGTATAATCTTACGTCAGCTGCTATTTAAGAGCTATGAATAAAAATTCTCGAGTGGAATACAAAGAAAGCAGCATTAATTGATTCCTGAAATAGTTTTTTCCCGTAGTCTTCTTTCTCATATCGTTAAAGTTGAAATGGCCATTTCGATTTTTAAACCTTGGGGAAACAAGAAAAATATTTTTATCTCTGGATTCAAAATCAAGATGAACCACCTTTTCTTGGTCGAAGGGAACAAGTCAACGTTGTTACGGATTTCCCGTTTTGCAAGTGCGCTGAATTCATTTGCTGGAGTTGTCATGAGTGCCAATATATCAGATGGCTTATGCTCCAACATTCTCTCTTGAATTAACGGCTGTTTTCCAGAAATCTTTGCCCAATTCTCAAGTTTCGGCGAAGACAAAGAGCTTTTCCATTCCACATGCCGCAAAATATCTGCAGCATCCATGTCTTCCTGTAAAAATTTTATATTTATAAATTGAATTTGGGCTTATTTACGAGGTCGTTTGAAAGCTGTTCTCCGCAAAATGCTTGAAGGTGAAGCTTTTTTTTTATTAAATATCAGACGTTTGAAGCATATATACGATATTCCTTATTGCTCTACACCACTTCAAATTATTCTCGTTCAAGAGTAAAAGAGTAATGAAACATTTTACTCATGCATTTCTTTAGTTTCTTGGCCGAGAAAATGCTTGAAGGGTACGTTTTGAAAAGCAAGTGGGAAGTATTTAAATTTATCTTGTAAAAAGTTGAAAAAATAACTGTTAAACTCACCCTTGTCTTGACAATTATGTGCTCTAACCCATCTCGTTCGGAATCACAAATGATCTTCTCAGTGACGAGTTTGTGCTCGTGTCGATGACCGGGTCTCTTGGATCGTCGCTGACGAGTCCTCGTTTTCCCCGCCAAAGATTTATGCACTTTCAGCGAATCCCGTAACAAATCGACAGCATGATCGTCGTTCAAAAGTTCGAGAGGAACCGTGACGTATCTCTTAGGCCTGGAATCGCCGCTGGCACGACGTGTGGATT